CCGATGTCAACAGGCGGAGCGTCCGCAGCGAAAGGAGAAAACAGACGGGCTGTGCCTGCTGTAGCGACAGTTTCGTGACAGACCCGCACCGAGGCTGGTAGTCGCCATGGGAACTTCCCGACATTAGCAGTTTCAACAACCTGAGATTCGCGTGGCGGGATGACCATCGCCTCTGTGTGAAGGGCAAGCCCGAAAAGGAAAAGGGACATGATCACATGCCCTCGCCGCCCCAAGCCTATGACAACCAGGAGCTCAGACAAGCGAGATCTAGCGGACGCCCTGCTCTGTGGCACAAGCACGTCCCCATCTCGAAGAGTACTGTCTGGAGCCTTGATGCGCAGATCCGAACGCAGTTGCCACCCTCCAGGCACAGGATCGCCACGGCACGTCATCGAGAGCAAACGGCATTCAGTCTCGTGGGCCCCAGCGGGATCGTGCATGATAACCTGAGCTTCTAAGTGCTCTGTCCGCCGTACGAAATGGCATTCATAAGGCTGAAGACAAGGAACGGGGACGATTTTAGGAGATATGGGGTCTCCCCTTGGTGGCGCGAACTGGCACTGGGAAGGCATCCAGACACTTCCTGCGCTCACCCATAGTCGTTCACATTGGTCGTCCGGGTTGACTGAGTCCTGCCAGATATAAACCCAGCCTCCTCGCCGGACCTTAAACTTAGAGTTCCAAAGGCTGAGGTGGTTCAGATGATACAGGTCATTCACCGCCGCATCCGGTCGGGCACGGCAAGCACGATTGAAGTGGTCCATCTCAAGCACAACGGAATCCCCATCGCGAAGTTGTAACAAGGCATCGGGGGGCATCTGTGGGTAAGTCAAGGCAGGCGGCAGGCTAAGACGGTCCCCAGGTGCCCCCAGAAAGCGACGGCAGCACTCCAGGAGCGTGTGCAGGCGACAGACGCGAGGAACCAGGACTGCCCGAGTAGTATCGCCAGCATGTGCAACGATCGAGGCCAGACCGCTACCGGCGATGGGCAGGACAATCCCCGAGCCCGTGATACGATTCGGGCCCAGGACAACGTGCCCTCTAGCCCAGGGCCCGCTGCAGGAATCAACCATCGATTGGAGGGCATCATGCGGGGTGGTGGGTGCGGCATGTATGCAACTGCTCCAGCCCCGAAAGGGGCACAGGATATGGTAATCCCAGCGCTGGGAGGAGACAACGTCAGCCAGAGGTTGCGGCAGCTCCGGTCTCCACCGTCCGACCATCGCGACTGAGCAGTCTTCCTCAGTATCACTGTGCCGGCGGGCCGAGCGCGACCTATCACGCACAGCTCCACCTCTATGACAAAAGCAGGCGAGCAATGAGAGAGAAAGACCTGCGTGCACACCGCCACGTCCGCCAAGTAAAAGGGCAAGAAGAGGAAATGATATACTATAGCTCGGCCTGCTGACATCCCAGACTACATAGTCAGAAGCAGGGCCGGAGTGGTCGTACACAACATCTCCATCTCGGAGATGCCATCGGTCGATGACTCGGTCGCGAGGAACGCCAAGAGGCCCGAGCCGAGGTGCGTCCAACCCGCGGTCGGCAGCAAAGGTTTGCGGAGAGACAATCCTGCCAACAGATTGTGCGGTGAGGTCCCCACAGCCTTCCACAAGAACATTTGCCGTGTGGGAGGCCTCGGAGGCCTGCACTAGATGGATCCACTGGCTCGGACTCCAGATAACCGGAACCCATGCCCCAGCAAATGCGCGCTGGAAGTCCCCAGTAAACGACAGAGCTGCTGGGTCCCACTCAGATCCGGCTGGGAGAAGATGTAAAATAGGCTGTTGGGCTGATGGCAGCCAGAGAAACACCTGAAGCGAAAACTCCAAATGAATCTTACGCGTCCATAGTGTGCCATCCTTAAGTACGGCTGGGCTCTGTGGCCACATGGCTGTGGCGTCTTCTCGACAAGCTATCACGTCCAACACATCCCCCGTACGGAGCAGAAGTGGCGCACGCGGCCGGACCAATCGAGCTGCATGGACCGCCGGCGGAAATCGTACTTGAGAAACCTCCCAGGGAGTGTTGTACTGGATAGCGCGGCAAATTTGGTCGTACTGAACCAGGGCAGGCACCACAAGCGCCTTCTGGGCGCCAGCGATCCTGGCAACAACGCAGACTAGGCCAGCTGTCTCGCTGATTGCTGGGACAAAGACCAGTCGGTCCGAACGGTCGTTCGGCCAGACCGGGTGCAGCCTTGGGATCGCTGGATCATCCACAAGGTAACGCTGTGCGAGCGCATCCAACGTAAGGGATCCTGCTCCGTGGAACACCCCTTGCGGTCCACACCAAGGGCACAGGTACAACGTGCGACAGCCACGAGATTGACTGACATGATCCATCGACTGCTCCTCTCTAGGCAAACGCCAGGGGAAGTGCCCTAGTGAGTATCCCCCTCGCCGATATTCCGGGATCGGAGCATGCAACCCGCCTAGTAAGGGAAGCATAACCGCACTGGCTATGGGAAACCGGAGTCCGAGAGCGGATCCTAAGATAAGGGCTAGACCTAACCCTGCTGCTCGTGAGCGCACGGGCTGGGGAGGAGGGGGACCAAAAGGTCCCAAGTCCGCTTGTAGACAGTCTCCGTCCCGAAGATGGACAGGTCGCTCCGGGTCTCTACCGGTGGAGTATGGAGTGCGGAGACGACCTCGAGCGCCTCTCACCACGACTTGAAGACCTCGACCTCTAATGATGGAGCGGGACAGGCACCTGGGATATAAAGCCTCTCCAGATCGTATCAAGACAGATGCTTGAGAAGGATCTGCGGCAACAGGGATCAAGTGTATCGCCTCGGCATCAGGCTGAGGTTGCACGCTAACCAAAGGTTGCCACCCTCTCCGCGCGGAATAGTCCCTAAGCATTTCCTCAAAAATAAAACCTGTGCCGACTCCCGTGGTGAGGAGTTCGCAAGTGGATCCACGCGAGAAAGGGTCATGAATCGTGACCGGACAACCATAAGGAATAAAGGGAGTCGGCCGGGGTCCTATGTTTACCCCTTGCAGATGTGCAGCAACCCGGCGCTGGAGAACCGGGATTAGGGTCCTATCAAAAGGTGGAGCAGCACTACTGAGAGCTCCCTGAATCGGTACAGCTGTGCTAGCTCCAGCATCATCACTGGCCCTTACTGTGGCTGCCATCCCTTCTCCGTCAATAGTGGTCTCTGGAGTGGGGGGTTGCACTCCAGTGTAAGAAGGAGAGCTGGGTGCTGCAGGCTCGCTCGGGTTCGGGGCCTCATCGTCCGCTGCGTGGACGAGAGATCCTAGAGCGAGTCCAGCGCCAAAAAGCCCCCACCCGCGGCCACAAAGGGCAGCAAGCATGATGGGTGCGAGGCCGATAGATCGGCTATTAGAGCGGGGCTGGTAATCTCTCCAGTGGTCTACGCCTGACCATCCTTCAGAGACATTCCCGGCGGTCGTGCTTGCCTCCGGAACAACTTCGGCTTGTCTGTCAGGGGAAGTGTCAATCCCCGCGAGGACACCAGCGTTCTCCAATCGTGTAGCAAGCAGGCTGAGTTGTCGCGTGACCGTATCAAGCTGAGCCAACATCGCAGCCTCCGTAGCGGCAGCAGAGGAGCTCACAGCCTGGTCGGAAGGAGGACGGCATGGGGGCGCGGACCTTCTAGGTGGTTCGCGTGCTTCCGACGAACGAGTCACCAGCGAGCTCACTCGGATCGCAGATTCCATGGTTGGCCCCCGGCAAATGTCATATTCGAATTGTGGCACCCAACAAGACTCAGGCGGAGAGTCCCACGTGGAGAAACCGGAGCCACTGGGCTGGGACATTCGGACCAGTGAGATAATGGCACCATGTGGGGGCACCGGGAGCTGTGTGCCATATGGAAAGACACGGCCGCAATGATGAACGCCAAAAGCCCCCTTCAGAAAGTGCTCTCCCCCGAAAGCTTCCGCAGCCTGCTGAGCGATGAACTGCCAATCGAAGCCCGGAACAACGACAGCCACCACAACGCCACGCCCGCGGAAATGGAGCAGCCAGAACGGAGTAGGCGGCGCAACCCCGGAAGGCAGGTGCAGCAGGTGAGCAACCCGTTTAACAGTGCGAGGTGTAGTCCAGACAAAGTCGCCCTCCGCGACAACACCCCGATTAGTAAGAGCCACCCAAGCAGCAAGCTGAGTAGGATCTGGGCTGTCCGAGTATGGCAGCTCTACCGGAGCACATAACGTGTGTGTCCAAATGCGCATTGTCTCTGGTGCAGGTGTTGGCTGAGCCCCCCAGGCTGGCGCTGTGGCGGGGATCTCCCGAACGGCAAGACTGTTCTGTTGCCCGGCTGAAGGCGGCATGCCCCAGCAACCAACACTCCAAAGGAGAACCCACAAAATTTGCCGCTGGAGCGACCGAGAACCTCCCGAGGACACGCCAGAGCCGGCACTACCTATTGCGATTTCAGCCAGCACAAGCCCACCAGCCGTAAGATGGCCAACCACTCGAGACAGGGGTCCGCCCACGTACGCGCGAGCCCCTTGCGGCATCGAAGACATGCTGGCGACTTCAGAAGAGGTAATGAGCCCGGACACCTGACCATGCGAGTTAAGTGTGACGGGTATCCGGTCATTACCTTCATACCACAGGGCTACCGGTCGAAGGAGTTCCCGGGCTAGCCCGTCTCGCACAATCCACCAGATGATGCTGCCAAGAGGGATGGACAGAACTTCTATGACAGAGGCCTGCGAATCGAAAGCGATGTGCATGCGATGCTCAGAGGCGCGGTGGCCCGCCGCCGCTAACAAATACGCCAGTTGGCCTGCTGTGACCCTACACCCTAAACCCTGAATCCCATAAACCCTTAACCCAAGACCCTGAACACTAAAAACCCTAAACCCTGAACCCTGAACCCCCTAGAACCCTTAACCCTAGAACCCTCAACCCTGAACCCTAGAACCCTGAACCCCCTAAACGCTAAACCCTAAACCCCCTAAACCCTAAACCCTCAACCCTAAACCCTGAACCCTAAAAGGGGTTCTACTTGCGAGCCTAGGAGCGCATCGTAAAGAGGTCGGGGACCATGAGGAGGCGCAGCACGCGCCGGCCATCCTCTTGGGGGTAGTTTTGGGTTTTCGGTTTAGGGTTTAGGGTTCAGGGTTTAGGGTTTGGGGTTTTAGGGTTTAGGGTTTAGGGTTTCAGAATGAGAAGAAATAGTAGTAATAATAGCAATAGTATTAATAGCAGTAAGTAATTTAATAGGAACTTAGGGTTCATAAATAGGCTTGAGGGGAGTTCTTAGGACGGACACGGTTGAAAACTGTTTCGGGGATTGGTGTTTTGAAGGTTTATGCGGGCTAAAATGGGTGTCAAGATTTTGGAGTTATCGGAGTTTTATGCCTCGTAGACTAGAGTTTTAGGGCTCTAATAAACCCTAAACCCAAAAATAGGATTTCAGTGTTTTGGGTCCGGAGATTGCCGAAGCAGTTGAGGATTAGGGTTGAGAGGTTTAGGGCTTTGAGGCTTCGGGCTCATCTTCTTGCTGCGCGGGGCGCAGGAGGCTGATCAGCGGGAACAAAGGCACCGTGAGTGCGGGGCAGATGTGGGATTGGCCGCCCGTGTATCACATGTTGCATATATGGGAGTTTACGAAAATCAGGGACCCTAATATAGTACCCTAAATAGTAGGATCATTATCATAAGGACCCCAAAATAAGGTACACCTCATTTGCGGAATCTCTAAATCCGAAACCCTAAACTCTTTCTAGATCCCTTCAATGAGCCCTCAAAGGCTCCCTTTAAAGGTACCCCCCAAAAAGGTACCCCCTTAATTTTCGAAACTCCCATATGGCAGACATGGCGCAAGCCCAAGAGTCCCCAGCATGTCCCCGTGTTGCCAAGCTCGTCCGGGGACCCGGAGAAAGAAGTTCTAGGGAAGGGCAGTGTGAATCGTGCCCTCGTGGGATTCGCCTTCTTGTGGCGATTGGACTCCTGCCGCTTCCTCTTCTCCGATCTCGTCTCTGGTTTTTTGCGAGCAGTGGAGCTCGCCGCCGGCTCTGCCAGTAGTCCGAGATCGCGAGTCCCTCCCGATGCCATGAGGGGTAATGTAGGAACCTGATTAAGAAACCTTGCTTGGGCCTTTATTCAGGGTTCCATATATGAATCCTACTCTTTTGAGGGTTATAGGCCCAAGGTTTCTTAATCAGGTTCCTACAGTATGAAGGGTCTCCCGCCGATGCGCATCATACAGGCACAAACGGCGTCTCTTCGACTTGGATTGCTGGGTGATTTTTTGGACACCGGCGATGGCAGTAAACACATATTTACAAATCTGCAACAGGTTGCGTCTGTAGGCGGCGAACACCAACGTTTGACAGCCTAACTTGTCAAGAACAAACTGGGTTTCGGCGTGCCCTATACCAATTCCAAAATGCTGTAGACCCCAAAATAGAAAGGGTAATATCTAAAGGACACTACTTGGGTCCCCGGGCTTAATAGAACCCTTAACCCTAAGCCCCGAACCCTCAAAAGCCTAAAACCCTACACACTTCATTCCGAAACTCTCACCAGAACCCTTAACCCTCAACCCCGAACCATAACAACCCTGGCCCCCAAGCAGCCCCACACTTCGACCCTGAGCACCTCACCTCTCAAGGCGGTTGATGATATAAATCCTGCAATACCCATAATGAGGAATATACCATTATTCCCATAGTTGAGGGTCCTTAACGTAATGCAGGATTTATATCATCAACAGTAGAACCCCGAACCCTAAAACCGTAAGCCCTGCACTTCATTCCTAAGTCCCTCACCTCTCAATAGACCGTAAGCCCTGAGCCTCGGGTTGCAGGACATGCTGCGCACGTCGAGCGGCAACCTTGGCTAGATGACTGAGACTTTAGGGCCTTAAACTACAGTGCCCTAAAGTAGTAGGATCCTTATTATAAGAACCCTAAATTAAAAAAAACGCCCTAAAGTAGTAGGATCCTTATTATAATAAGAACCCTAAATTAAAAAGAAAACCTAAGTTTCGGAAACTCCTTTCTTAAGGTTCAGGGACTGCAGGGTCCGCTGCAGGGTTTAAGATTTCGGGCTTAGGGTTTAGGATTTGGGCTTCTGGCTGTAGGGGTTTAGGATTTTGGGTTTAGGGCTCCTGGAATTCGTGGGTTTAGGACCAAATTCACGGATACTTGGGGTCTAGGAATTTCGGATCCTGAGTGGAGCACCGCCAACAGGTTCCAACGTTGGTGGAGCAACATCTGAAAAGGGGTGGTTCTGAACAAAAGGTTCCGTTTCAACGGGCTGCGGCTTAGGGCTTTACTGAAACCCACCAAAACACACGCTTGAAGCATTCCTGAGTATCCTGATTCAACGGAAGGTTTTCTCAAGGCTAAAGGCAGTTCTCTAGGAAAGCTGCCAAGCCAAGGCCTGTGCCGTAATCAGATTCCTTGTTGTAGGGCTTATAGAGTTGAGGGTTTCGGAAAGGGTTTAAACGACACACTAATCAGGCATTGGAGTTTCGGATAGTAGCTATGTAGGCGAGTAATTGGGAGAGTATATGGTTACCACGCACTTGGACCCTTACGGTTTAGGATTGTATTTTTTATTTCCAAGGAGAGAGGCCTTGTTCAAGCAGAGGTTTATGTTGCTCTTCTGTTCTGCCCGTCAACTGCTGTAGGGTTTTTTGGGGACACACGCGGCAAGTGACTCCTAGAAAGTTTTGAAAACCAAGCACAAGCAACCACAAATAATACTCGATCCTGGCTTTGCATGGTGATTGTTTTAAATACCTGGGCCCGCAAATCAGCATTGGGTAAGGTTCCAAAACAAGCAAAACGTAGGTGCCCTGTTCATTCAGGGTCTCCTTAGAAAGAGCTCCATTCCCACTGTCGTCTCCATGATTATTGACGTTTTCCACACACCAAAAATACCAGAAAACTTACATTCCAAAACGCGTAACGGTCGAAGCAAAGCTTGGGGGTCAGGGGTTTACGGTTTCGGTGGCCGAAATCCTGCACCACTCCTGGCCCTTAAACCCTAAATACCGTTTAACCCCTAAACCCCTAGCTCCTAAACTTCCCTAAAGCCAGGAAACCTTACACCCCCAACAACCCCTAAACCCGAAACCTTGAACCCCTAAACAAACCGTAAACCCCTACCGCCGAGATCCCTGCACCCAGTGCCCAATTGGCCTCCTCCAGTTTCGCCTGACCATGGCTTCGTGGTTGTATGCAAGGGTGCAAGGGCGGTCATTACCGCGACAATCGCATCGATTGCCATCTCGACAATTTCAAGGATGTCGGCAAGAGTAGTGGTGACAAATAAGGCTTGGGACAGTTCAAAGAAGCGAAAACCTATCCTGCCTGAACCACGAGGGTCCGAGATAGAGGGCTTAAGACGTCGTAGAGCTTTCTGAAATCCGGGAAACTCCAAGCCGCAGAAACTTAAATGAAGCTTCTCCGAAACCTGCAATCCCAGCATGTATCAAAGCCATACACGACAGACTCCTAAGCCCAGTGCACCGCGGCCCTGTAAGGGGGGCCAAATATGGCCTCATAGTTGGAAAAGATTTCCGGACAGGTTATAGTATATCATAAGGAGCCCTACGGAATAATGTTGGAAATTATTTAGGCTTCCATATTTCTGCTGACACGTCTGAGGGCTTATAATAGGTTTGATACGAAGGCTCCTGCGGAACCCAGCATACAAAAAGCCTTGGGTTTGTGGCACTGCAACAATAGTGAAATATCGACAAGTACTTCCGGTACAGTCATACAGGAATTACGCTATCAACCGCCGCCCTCTCCGCGCCATGGGACTCGGGTTAAGCGCACCCTCCACAAACAAACTCCTTTGATCTTGCAGCTTCTTCAAGAAGGGACCCCGGAATGACACATCCCTAACCCTAAATCCCAAGCATAAACTCTACACCCCGTAGATCGCCTCGGCCGTGAGATCGGAAGGATGTGCCAGAGCCAGCACCGCATCACGAAGCCGAGTCATCTGATTCCCAGAGACCCCCAAACCCCTTGATTCCTACACTAAGGAACAATCCATAAATTGCAGAGGGATTCGTATGATCACGTATAGCAGCATCCTTCAACGAAAGGTTGGTCCTTACCAGATTCTGACAACTTAGGTTTAGGGAAGAGCTCTTCAATGGTACAGGGATCCTTTGGCATGAAGACTGATTCAGGAATGCTTCTCTTAACTACGGCTCCTGGCGTCTCTGGCTTGTGCGATTCGGATTTCGGAGTCCTTTTCTGGGTGTCTTTGCATTAAAGATCCCAGCAAGGAGGGTCCAGAAATAGTGGAACTTCAAGAGTGCAGGGATCTGGTGTGCAATGCTCGAAACCCCAAACCCTAAACCCGGAACCCCTAAACCCTCTTGAGGCCTGAAGGCTTCGGAGATTCGGGTTTAGGTTCTTTTGTAAGGGTTTAGGTTGTAGGGTTTAGGGTGTATAGGTTGTAGGGTTTAGGGTTTAGTGGTTGTAGGGTTTAGGGTGTATAGGTTGTAGGGTTTAGGGTTTAGTGGTTGTAGGGTTTAGGTGGTTGTACGGTTTTGGGGCTTAGGCGTTCAGGCTTAGGCGTTGATGCTCGTGACACTAGATTCACTAGAGTTCAATTGCCTGCACCCTGAAGCCTAGCCCTAAACACCACGCTTACCAAAGTTTAGGCCCCTAAGCCCCGAGTCCCCAAAGGGTAAAAGGTTTAGGGACAATGGGGCCAACAAAGCTGACTTGTTTAGGGCTTAAGGTAAAAGCCAGAAAGTTGGAATATGATTATCCTAACCCTTCTATGGTAATTTATAGGGTATCCTACCATGAAACCATATTCCAACTTTCTGGAGTTCCCTGTAGAGTAACGTTTCTTCTTCCGTCCCGGGATTTTCTGCTGTCCCGAATGACACGGATGAAATCTTGCGGCCCCAGGCTGTGGGTGTTTCGGTTTCGCCAGCGCAGGGTGCCCCCCTCCGCCCTCCGTGGAGCACCAACCGCCATTGGTCGGAATTGGCAAAAGCTGCAACCGACGTTGGGGGCCGTCCGACCTTCCACAGCCAGGGGAAGGCGGCATGTATTTCGAAGGATGAATACCGCAATAGGCCTAGATGCAAAAAAGAGAGTTTAGGAGTGCATGTTGTCTCGGAGCTTCGATTTTCCTGCTTCGAGCAAATCCGAGTGCATGAGAGTCGAATAATGCCCGCAGCTGCAGTGTGCTTGTCGGGTTTAGGGGAACCCAGTGTACCTTAAACCCCACTGTAATTGCAGGAAAATGGGAGTTTCCGAAGTTTCCTAAATAGTAGGATCCTCATTATGAGGACCCCAAAGTAAGGTACCCCTAATTTTTGGAAACTCCCAAATCGGAACATCATTATCTGTAAGCCCGAAGCACACAGAGAGACCTGAACCAGAAACCCTAAAGTCTAGAAGCCCTGAACCAGAAACCCTAAAGTCTAGAAGCCCTAAACCAGAAACCCTAAAGTCTAGAAGCCCTAAACCAGAAACCCTAGAGTCTAGAAGCCCTAAACCAGAAACCCTAAAGTCTAGAAGCCCTAAACCAGAAACCCTAAAGTCCAGAAGCCCTAAACCAGAAACCCTAAAGTCTAGAAGCCCTAAACCACATATCCCCCAAACCCTGCCTGTAGCCTTGCAGACATTTGCTGAACTTGCTGCCCTTGCAAAAAGTATGCTTTCAGCGGTATCTTAAGGATTATAGCAGCTAAAACTTACAAACACTTTCCAAGAACCGCGCTCAACCCTAAACCCCTAAACCCTAAACCTCGTAACTCCCGGGCCGACGCCCTGTAAACCCTGAACGCCACACACGCTAAGCCCTGTAAACTACAAGCTGTCTGCTAGGGCAGGGTTTTGGTGTGCCACCTGGGCACCATAAACCCGAAAAGCCCTTGAAACTACAAGCCCCAAACCCTACACCCTGAACCTGAACAGAAACAGCCTGCTCTTTGGTAGATTCCACAGTGGTGCCGGCCTTCAGTATCTCAGGGTCGAACTCGCTGTCTTTAGTTTGAGTTTAGGTTTAGGATTCCGGGTTTGGAGTTTACTGTTTGTGCTTGGGTTCTGGGCTTCGGAAATTCAACAGAGTCCAGCCGGGACGTGAAACAAAGGCAGCTGCAAATACACTCCGTGTGGCTTTTACTACTTACTAGCCCCAAACCTCAACCCTTGACCCTCAGCCCAAATATCGCAGCCCCATCAACCCTTCAACCCCGAAGCGCTTTGGGCCCAAAGAGAAACAGTTTCGCAGGGCTCAGGGTGGACATAGTCAGGCTTTAGAATTTGAAAGTGGTTTCTGAGTTGCCTGTGACTCACTGAAAGATCGCTTTCCGAACTAAGATCCGGCTATGAGGCCGAGCTATATTAAACCCCGATATAGTAGCCCAGAATAACCCGCAAAAACCAAACCTCATACTGCAAGGGCGTGCGGAAGCTCGGCACGGCTTTGGGGGAGAGCATGTGCAGTAGATGTGGGTTTGGGGTTTGAGGCTTAGGCTGTAGGTTTTGGGACGTTTTTATCGGGATGCAGAGGAAGGCTACCACCTCTTCACGATCCCGCGTTAGGCTCCTATCCGAGACCAGCCTCTGGCCTTCAATCCATTTCCTGCTCGCCTTGAAACGGTATGCAAGAAAATGGATGTCCCGATGGAAACAAGAGGCCGAATCAAACCAGTGTCTGGGAGGCAGCCAGGTGGAGCTTACGGCCAAAGAGGGTAGTTGTCAAAATTATGGTCCATTTTAGGGTACCCTAAATAACAGGTGCCGTATTATAATAGGGACCCAAAAGGGACCCTAATTTTGACAACCACCCAAGAATACCCCAAGTCCTTCGACAGACACACACACACACACACACACACACACACACACACACACACACACACACACACACACACACACACACACACACACACACACACACACACACACACACACACACACACACACCTACGACCCAACATCGGGAAAGTTCGATCAACCCAGCCTCAAGCCTACCCAAATCCCCAAACCCTAAACCCCAAACCCTAAGACCCCAAAGCCCGAAACCCCCAAACCCTAAACCCCAAACCCTGAGACCCCAAAGCCCGAAACCGTAAGCCCTGAACCCCTAAACCCTAAACCACAAACCCTCAGACCCCAAAGCCCGAGACAACGAACCCAAGATCCCCTGCAACTCGAACCCCTTCTCTCCCTAAGGATGAAAATAGCCCAGAAGCCTGATATACGGTTGATGATATAAATCCTGCCTTACCCATAATAAGGAATATGTGGGAATTATGGTATATTCCTTTTTATGGGTCATGCAGGATTTATATCATCAACAGTAGTATGGTCTTTGGGACCAAAAGCCTTACTACAGGAGTCCTTAGATCCCTAGGGTCTGAGCTCGTGTCCAGGATGGATTGCTGCCTGCACAGACACAACCCTGGGTTGACTGGTTCATGGATTGGATAGCATTAAACAGGTAAAGTGTTGTCCCTTATTGTGTCTAAGTATCCATAAAGAATGTGTGATGCTACCTACCCAACTACGACAAAGTTTAGGGACTTTAGGGCGTGGCGTTTAAGATTGGGTTCGGAGTTCAGGATTCAGGGTTTAGGATTGGGCTTGAGGGTTTAGGCTGGTTGAGGATTGGGCTGAGGAAGTTTAGGGTCCAGGATTGTAATTTTAGGATTAGGGTTGAGGGTCTAGGGTTCAGAGTTGAGGATTGGCTTTAGGGTTCAGGATTCAGGGTTTAGGAGTTTAGGATGAGGGTTGAAGGTTTAGAGGTCCGGGTTTAGGGCATGTAGGGGATTGGCACGGGGCTGCAGTATCATGAAGCGATTAAGGATCACTTACTCGACCACTAAGATATCCAGGGGAGGTGGGGCTTGGATTTTAAAACAGCCCTAAACCTCAAACCCCCAAACCCCCAAAACCCTAAGTGGAATGCTCAAGCTGGGTTCCGGGATAAGGTGATACCTCGGCTTTAGGGTCACGCCTGGGTTCAAAGGTTGCAGCTGAATCTCTCAAATTGTCAAGCCGAAAGCAAGGGCTGGTAAGGCCTCCCCAAACAGAGCTGGCTAGGGGTTTAGGGTGAGGATTTAGGCTAGTCCTTTGGGGTGCGGGGTTCAGCTGTTGAGATTTTTTAGCCACGGGTCCGGTGGGGAAATCGCATACACATACACACACATGCTGGGAGTTGATTAAGTTTGTTTTGAAGAAGACTCGGAAACTAATTTAGAGGCCAGTAGTTATAATTGGATCTTGGCAGGGCCTATAGATTGGAACTTCGGGGCCTTCATAGTCGGAAAACTTGGCAGGTCTACTGCCATGCTCCCCCATGATGCGCCGAGGCAACAGCCCTTAACCCTGACCTTCCTAAACCCTATAAACCTTAACCGCCCGTATCAGAAGCATTCTCATAAAGCCAAGCAGAACAACCACCCGAGCTGTCAAACCCTAAACCCTAACCCGTAAACCGAAAACCAAACCTAAACCCTAAAACCCTAAACTCCAAAGCGTTCCTAGTAGCGCTGCGACTGTGGAGCCTTGGTCCTATCCCTAAGGGTCCAAAATACCTACCAATCATACACTCTCCAAAATCCTAACCCACAAAACTACCATCCTAAACCACAGTACCTTATTATTGGGGGCTTTGGACCCATCGGGTGTTGCTTACCCGAACGATCTCAACGCTTTCGGTCCTCAAGTTCAGGATCTGGGGTTGAGGGGTCCGAGGTTGATTGGTTGAGGTTGAAAGGCTTACCCTAAGGGTCCAGGTATCTCCTTAGGAGGGTCCGGAATCTCCTAGAAAGAGCCCTTGGGTGTCGTTGGGGCTTCAGGAACCCTACATTCTGAGGTTCCTCAAAGTGTTAGGACCCTATAGGTAATTATTTACTTACTACCCCAATAAGCCACAGAACAAAAGGTTAAACTTTCTGATTCCTACTAGACTACAAGAGCCCAAAACAGTTTAAAGGTTGGGTATTGGGGATCTTAGGCTAA